CTTCCCTTCCCTTCCCTTCCCTTCCCTTCCCTTCCCTTCCCTTCCCTTCCCTTCCCTTCCCTTCCCTTCCCTTCCCTTCCCTTCCCTTCCCTTCCCTTCCCTTCCCTTCCCTTCCCTTCCCTTCCCTTCCCTTCCCTTCCCTTCCCTTCCCTTCCCTTCCCTTCCCTTCCCTTCCCTTCCCTTCCCTTCCCTTCCCTTCCCTTCCCTTCCCTTCCCTTCCCTTCCCTTCCCTTCCCTTCCCCCCCCCTTTTTGTTTTGTCTTTATCTATGCTCATAGGTGCTGTCAGGAGGGGACCCTTCCATCGCCACCGCCGCCGCGTTCTGCGGCTCGGAATTAAAGGGCCAGCCTTTACAAAGGCTGCGCCCTAGCAGCGTTTGTGCTGCACGAAGAAGATGACCGGGAACTACCTCAACGCCCTGTGAAGTCCTTTGGTTCCACCATTGGGACCTCTCTATTTCTTTTGGTTGGAGGTGTGTCTGCACCGCTCCTCCTGCCCCCCTCTATCTATTGAGTGAGCTGCTTAGCGACACAAGCGGCTCCCGTTCAAAAGATTTTTCTTTCAATTCGGAGGATTTTTCTTTTGTTCCAAATTCCAATCTTTCCTTTCAACCAGTTTCGTGGGAACACCCCCTTGGGGGGTGAACCGAACTCGAGCGTGTGTAGGGATGAGCCTGAGAAATTTGACACCCAGTTGTCTTTAAGCGGCCTGGAAACCATGGCTGCGTTATAGGTTTGGCGAATCCAGCCTGCGCCGAGGTGTGCAGCCTCCTTCCCCTTGGTGAGGGAGGAGCCCTGGCGTGGCCTGACTTCAAGCCGAACCTAAGCCCGAGCTTAATCGGTGCTGGCCTCATCCACTGCACTAAATCGCACCGCCTGCTATGCAAATCATGGCGACGGAGAGTTCGTTTGTCGGTCTGCCTGTCAGCCGACAGCCCGATTCTGTGTTGTTTCTTGCTATGTTTTCCAAATGTATTGCAATTGCTTTGCCTGTTTAGAGTTGTTTACTCAATGATTTAAACTGGACCCAGGAGGCTTAGCGTGTTGCTAATCTGCATACGCTTCGCTGTCCGAGCGCACGAACGGCCTCGGGCACGGCCGTCGGCCGATCCTTCCTTATATGGAGATCCCCATGCATCCGAATGGAACCTTGGATTGTGCCACCGGCACTGGCTCAAAGGGGGGAATCCTTTTGTTTGTGACTTTCTATTCTTGACTGGGAGTGGGAGAGAGTCCCCCGGAGGGGACCCTCGAGTGTTTAAAACTGGTAATCCATTTGAAATCGGATCACAGCAGAGGCTTCACTCGTCCTCTAGCTAAAAGAGGTCTAGACCTCGAGGCGGAGTTCACCAAACCTATAAGCCAACCAGGGATCCCATGGCTCTGCACCACACAGCGCACGAGTTCAGGTTCCTTGTGCGATGGTTTTGCCCATTCAGTAGGAATGGCCGATGGAGACCGAGCCTAGGAGGTGTTGTAGCCAGACTGTGTTTGCGATCATGGTGCACCGGCAAGAACACGCAGCCTTTGTTTTATCTTGAATAAGACCTCCCGAAAATGTCTATAGTGTGCCTAGGAGTGCACTCACCGGCTTAGTCTGCTTTAAATAAACTGTGTTTATCATGGGATCTGCGAGTCCCAAGGTGCTTTGGGAAGCAAAGGGGGGAGACGATTTGCATATGCATAACCATGCCCCCACCAGTGAGAGGACCCCCTCCCCTGCCAGGACTGGCACGGTACTGGAAGCCCTCTTTCGCCCAAACACCGACACTACACGCGGCTGCGTGAATGCTGCTACTGTTTATTGCTGCTTGCCTCAATGAATCCCACGGACCGCCTCCGCTTAGGGAGACGATGGGGTTGTTTTACTCAGGGATCGGTGAAGGCTGCTTTATTCCTGGGAAACTGGGACTGTTTGCACACCATGCCTTGTGGTTTAGCTGTGAATTAACTGTTTTGTTGTTTTGTTTCCATGCAAGCAGGTTTGACATGCATTGAGCTGTCACTAGGGCATCACATGCACATCTGAAGTGAACACCCACGGCTCTTACTTGTCTGACGTCATTGCTGCCCCCCCCCTATTTTGATTTGGCATTTTTGGTAAGTATAGGACAGGTCCTGGTATTTTTCCTTTTTCAAAGGAAAGAAACCCGTCCTCCAACGTTAGCTAGATTTAGACAGGAAGCACGGATGCCTCTGTCTGGATGGCGACACCCCGACACCGAAGACGTGTCCGCCTGCCTGCCTGCTCTTTCTGCTGACGTTGCCTGTCATGGGCCCGGACTCTGTTCATGACCACACCAAACCAGATCACATAGGGGTCACCAACGCATGGACTTGGACATTCTTTTGCACCTGCCTGGCATGATGACGTTTCACTTCCATGCCAGCGCCTTGGAGTGGCACCCGCCACGTGGACTCAATGTTTTGTTGTCGTGGCAGGCCGAACTTTTAGTTCTGCCGCCGCGAAAGGGGGGACTGTAACGATATGAGCTTATGTTTGTATTTCTGTATAGTGGTGATGCTGCTTATGTGTGTCTCTAGCATGAATACCTATGCATTGTGTATTCAGGGATTGCTGTATGTTGTGTGTTGCTTTGTTCTGCATCTCATGCTTGCCTAGAAATAGGCTGGCCTGGGCCTGCCGTTGCACATACGGACCATGTGCGTCCCTGGAATGTATCCCATGACTCTTTGGGATGGAGAAGACACCGCGCCATTGCACCCACTTGGAGAGCTGTGGAAAATCCCCAGCGAACCCCGGCATTCTTGGAATGGAAAGAGCAAGTGACCCTACTCCCTTAATCTGGTTTGGAGATCTAAAGACAATAGCGGTTTATGGCTTTGGAGCAGGCACCAGATCTGCAAGTCAAGAGGTGTCCATGGGAACGGAAGATTCACACCTTGCCAAAAGGCACCTTTGATGTAGGAGTAGGATCTGCATATTGCCACCACCCCTTAGGAGAGCGTCATCCCCTCGTCACCCCCTCTTCATCCAGTAGTGATAGTTTAGAGGACGGGTTTGATAGTTTATGGCTGGATAGCACATGCCCCAAAAAGAGTTTATTTAAGGAGAAACTCTCCTTTGTCTCTCTGGTTAACCCACCTTCCCCATAGCAGTGCACTAAGGTGCTACAAGTGACTCTACTACCTAAGTTCTCCGGAGTCGCGACCCAGAGAGCTCACACGTGGTTTGGCTGGTCCTACCTGTGTGCCTTGGAGTTCACAAGCTGCTGCATTTCGGCTGCCCAGCGTTCCAAGGAGGAGAGTTCTTCCTCAGCTGGACCTCAGATGAGTATAGCCGTGCCCCATTGTGTCATCCCCATTTTGATGCTTTTGTTATTTTATATGCTGTAATTGTTCTGATGTACTTTTGTAACTAAGGAGCTTGTATGAAATTGTATGATTCCGATTTTGTATGCCTGATGAAAAACCATTTAGTAAAGACAACATTTATTTAAGGACTAGCGTGTTGTCTCACTTCCTGGGCAATAGCGAGCGTCTCATTGGCCATCTGACCTCTGTATAGACTGGTATAGAACTTACGCACAGCCACAAACACCCAAACTTCCTTGGTAGATAACTTGGATTGGGTCTCCAGGAATTTCCTGGAGAAGTTGGCATAACACAGGGCCCTGCAGGAGCTTTTACAGTTCCGCAGGGCCTGCAAGACAGAGCTCTTCCACTAGGCTTTCAGTTAGGAGCCGCGTGTGACATTCAATTAAATATGTGTTAATCTTAAAATGTGCATTCCTTCCCTAGAGCAAATTCCCCTCTTCTGCTTAGGTTAATTATATTGGATTATGATAAAAAACTGAAACACTAGAATGTTTAACATACTACATTCTGTGTAAATACAGGCTTCTTGGTGGATGAAGGAACTAGTATTGCATTGTAATGAAGCACTACTAAAGTACCTTTTTAAAAAAACAGATGAGGACTTCGCAAGTATAGCCGCACCATCAAAGAAGAAGTCGAAGAAGGTGTACTCTGAGACAAAGAAGGAGAAAAAGGAATCACAAAATAAGCTCCTCAGAGGGGAGGTTGAGTTGCAGAAAAGAGCAGCCAACAAAAGGTAAGATGAAGGGGGGGAAAGCCCCTGTACGGCAAAATATTAAAAATTACTGTTGTTCCTAATAGTGTTTGAAATAACTGAGTGGGAATAAAGAGCAGTGATTTTTAAAAAAAGATTTGTTAACACGTTTAGCTGTGGTTAAAAACTAGGAGCCAACCTCAGGCATGAGTCCACTTTCGCTGGAGCAAATTCTCCTCTTCTGCCTTAACTGATTAAACCATTTGTTGACTGCAGTTGACATTGACTATGGGGTTCCCTTTGACCAGGTTCTGAAACAGGGTAAATGGTGGCTCCATTATGTCAATTAGCTTTTTGCTTTTCTTAGGGGTTGCAGGAGGTACCAGTGTACAAGTATATTGGGAATATATTCCTAAATTACTGTTTGAAATATTTCAGGGTTGCCTTGGATGACAAGCTTTATCAAAGAGACTTAGAAGTTGCCTTAGCGCTGTCTGTTAGTGAACCAGCTTTAGGCACCTGCATAGTAAAAGATTCACAGGAACAAGGTTAGTGGGGTTTTCTTACAATAGAAACTCTTACTGTCTGTACTTCTTGTCAAGGGGTTTCCTGTTGGGACTGTTTTATTCCTTATCCTGGTATTTGTATCCTTACACTTAAGTGCAAACTACATGTTACCTTAAGCATGTGGCAAGTGCTGCCATTTCTTCCATATTTCCCTGATAATATTTGGGTAAAGAAGATTGTATCATCCATCTTCTTTAAATGTCATTGAGGAGGTATGGGGTGGTAGCAGCCATTCATGATAATGTAGCTCAGGTTTTAATGCAAGAATGCAAGCTTAATACAATGTATTCATTTATGTGTTCCATCTATATCCACCTTACTCCCCAGAAGGGGCCCAGATCAGTTTATATCACTCTCCTCTCACAATAGCTCTCCAAGGTAGGTTAGCCTGAGTGTGCGACTAGTACAAGGCAGAGTGGGAGATTCAAACTTAGCCTGACACTCTAACCATGATCATAAAATGCAGGGATTTTGAAACAGCAGTTTGATCCAGAGTGCAACTCTTTTCTCTCTGAAGTTATGTTCGTATATTGATATCGGAGGGCATGGGAGAAGAAGAAGAAGATGAAGAAGAGATTGGAGTTATACCCCGCCCTTCACTACCCAAAGGTGTCTCAGAGCGGCTTACAAACGCCTTTCCCTTCCCCTCCCCACAACAGACACCCTGTGAGGTAGGTGGGGCTGAGAGAGCTCTGACAGAAACTGCTCTTTTTAAAGAACAGCTGTGCCAAAACTATGGCTTGCCTAAGGTCATCCAGCAGGTGCAAGTGGAGGAGTGGGGAATCAAACCCGGTTCTCCCAGAGTAGAGTTCGTGCACTTAACCACTACACCAAACTGGCTCACTAGAAGAACTAGCAGCACAGATTTCATATCATAAAATATCCACAGAATAGGAAAAGGCAAGTCATTGCTCTGTTTGAGGAATAGCTGGCCTGATCAACTATAAAGGACTTCTGCTGAGTGAGTGAGTGGGGCAACTGCAATTCCCATGGTTTTTCCAAGTGGTATTGATTGAACTGGTGGAGACTGAGTTAATTGTTTGGGAAAGTTACAACAAAGCATAAAGCCAGGGTGCTTTCTTCCGTTTTCTCCATGGTACTTGGTGTGTATTAAAGCAAAATATTCTGTTACAGTCCTGCATGAAAGTGCAGATGAACGTGACCAGACTGGAAAGGATCTCGGACAAAGAACAGCAGCATCTCAGCAGAAGGTGCTGACTGGAAGCCAAAGCAGTGCAAGCTCTGCTCACAGCTATGAGCCAGAGATGGCTTCAGGTAAGTGCTTCCATTTGCATTATTCCCATAATACATGTTCTAAATATTTAACCATGTTGGTCAAGGACAGCGTATTAAAACAATTCTTAAATTCCTTGCTTTCAGCTCCCTTTCACTAAATTGCGGTTATTGGTAATATATCTTTCCTTAATTGTATTTTATTTACTTCATTTATACCCCTTTCTCCCCAGTGGGGACCTAAAGTGGCTTACAGCATTCTGTCCTTCTCCATGTTATCCTCACCACAGCAACCTTGTGAAGGAGGTTAGGCTGAGAGTGTGTGACTGACCCAAAGTCATCCGGCAAGTTTCTATGGCAGAGCATTGAAATAGTGTTCAATGTTCAATAGTGTTCAATAGTATTTAGTCACATTTTGAAACACACTACCCATAGTTTTGAAAAACACAACTATGTTCTTAAGATACCTTTCCCCATGGTCCCAGTCTGTATTGGGCTCCCACATGTCTGGGAATTAATCTCTGTGTAAAAAGATCCTAGAGCACATCTGGTAGGATTCCGGGCCAGATGCCTGGGAGGCACAAGGACTTTAAGATGTGAATTAGCCCTCAGAGTGGTATTCCAGCCTCTGAATGGAAATTCAGAACAGGCCTGTGTAACTAACTAGTTAAACAAGCTGTCTGAACAATGTCTCTGGCTTGAACGTGTAACCAAAGTAAGGTAATTTTGTTGTTATACAGGCATAATACTTTTAGCCACATTGGCCTCAAAGGAATAGTGATTTCCTGCTGTTTATGGGAAAACAAATGTGGAGGCAACATACAAATTTAGGTTAACTTTTATAATAGTTTCATCTTTAATTTCTAAGCCTTGCTTCGCTTTTCATGATATTAATATTTTATTCCCTTTTTTGCCTCCTTTCAAATGCACCTGGAAATTATGGGAAATGATGAGAAACTAACAAAATTAGTGCCTTACTAGGAAACAACTAACGAACTCTTCAGTTAACACCAAAACAAATGAACACTACCTCAAAGAAAAATGTATAGTACTTTGTGTTTTCAAATTGCTTTCACATTGGTATCCAGATCTTAAAATGGCAATTGCATATCATTCTCTGAGGAAGGGATGTTTACTTTAATCAATGATGTAAGCAGATTTTGTACTGGTCCAAGGAGTTGACGCCTTCCTCCTTTAACCATCCCCATTTGGATTTTGCCAGTCCTGTGTGCGTCCATGCCCCTTCCGAAACTATGTGCTCACAACTGCAAACTGGTCCCTACACATTCAGAACTAAGGATCAGGGTATCCCTTCTAAAAAGACTGCCAGACTTCCAATCATTCTGAGACTGCCATTCAAACTTGTTTTCTACCACTACTAAACCTAAAGGTGGCACCATGCACCTATCTGTGCATGTCCATTTTCACCACTCACCTATATATTGCCTGTGGTTTCAGCTGAAGAATCAGAAGCTAATTCCAGCTTCAGCGAAGACAGTCATGATGAATTTCCTGTGAAAAAGGCAACTAAAGAAAATGGAAAGGGTGGGAAGACATTAAATGCTAAAAACGAAAAAGCAAAGACAACTACCAAAGTGAAAAGGAGTTGTGAGGGTAAGCAAATTTGTTTCGTATCTTCCTGAACTCTGTTATAGCACTAAGCTTTTCTTCATGTGGTTTTCAAAGTATCCCATAATTATGGTCTGTGCACAATGTTTTTGTGCAAGATGTCCCCTGGTTCTAATGCTATATGATTCCAATTCACTTTTACCAGGCTCCACATGCTTTTATGCACTTGTAGTCATGCATCTTTCTAGCTTTTTTGTTTCTTAATGTTTATGTTAGTTTTCCAATTTAGTATTCATAGAAGTGTTTCCAATGTCAGTGATGTTGAAGTGCAATCCGGTGAAACTGAGATATGCATGCACAAATCACATAAAAATGAATTTGATTTTTTAGCAGGTATTAAATCTTTGCCTTCAAGGGGTTACATTTTAAATTCATTCTCTGCAATTTAAGTGTGGGAACTCACTGAAATAAAGCATTTTCAGCTGGTAGATTTATTGATAGAAATATCAGATAAATGATTTTGTTTTGCATTTAAACCATCACATTCATCTGCAGTTTTTAAAAGTAACTTCTGAACTAACTACAGAATCCATTCTGTTGCTAATCCATGAAAGGTTATAGGGGGAGAAAAACAAAAGGTTTTTTCTTTTTGCCTTTAACCATATTGCTAGTTCAAGCAAAACCTGAGCCAGCTTTGAAAAGAGTGCCAAGTTCTTCAGAATCAACGGGGAAGCCTTTAAAAGCATCAGGCTCTACAGCACTCAAGAGGCCCAGCTGGACACCACCAGGTATGTTGTATATATAACAAGAAGGCATAAGCTCTCCTCCCCATGCAGTTTCTAGCACAAACAGAATGGGTTGGATCCAACCTTTTTTTTTTCCTGCTGGTAAAAAAGGGAAGGAAGGGATCTTTTCTGACCACCCAGAATGGTTCAGCTGAGGCTCATGGGACCTGGCTGGAGTTAAAGCCACATGGGTTGAAGGCTGAAGTAAGGAGGAAGAATTGGGCAAGGCTGAATGAAAGCTGGCTGGATCCAACCTGATAATGCTGGATGCTGTCGATCAAATCTTCCTTTAATCTTAGGAAGTCTCTCGTGCTTAGAGACAGTTCGCTAAGAACACAAGTTATCCCCCAAATGCTGTTTTTTGTCTACTTCGTTGGTTGAGATTTGGACAAAAATAGAAATATCCTAGCTGAGAAATCTCCTAGCTGAGAATTGGTTTGCGCGAGCTTGGTTGTATTGAGAAATACTAGCTGGGATGCAGAGAGCCCTTTTAACACACATCCATTTGTATGAATGCAGTGTTTAGTTCTAAAATGGCCTATAGAGATATGCCTTGTGTCAAGATTGGGCTCTAGAAGTAAGCTGTACGGCTTGCACGATACTTCAGTCCTAAAATGTGAGTAGTGATTACCACCAGGAACAAAACTGATGAATGAATGAGAGATTGTCTAAACAGCCTGGAATTTTTCTTAACACACGTCTTCACCTGTCTCTTTAGCTGGAAGCCGTAAGAGCCCACTGGGAGGAGTCCTTGTGAAATCACCCACTCAGAGTCTCAGACTTGGCCTTTCAAGACTGGCAAGAGTGAAGCCCTTGCACCCCAGCATTGCCAGTGTCTGAATGACCCTGTGATGATTTTAGAAGTTGCAAACTCAAAGGACCAGTGGAAATGGGGAATATTCCTAATTTTAAAAACAAGAAATTGGAAAACCTGTGGACCGTAAACTGGTGGCAATTCAGGACTGGGAGATGCATTTTAAAAACTTTTGTAAGATCTGAACTGATGACAATACTTAAAATCTTGTGTAATGTTCCTAATCTTATGCTGTGATCCCCCTTTAACAACTGAAATTTTTCACATTTTTGGCATATTCACTCACTGTTGAGGGTGAGTGGTGACTGCTTGTGGTCTGTGGAAGTCCCTGATATCAGAGCCACCACCAGTGGGCCAGGACAGATAACCTGGGATACCCATCTACCGACCTATGGGTTGGATCCAGAGTAGTACCAGTGGATCTCCATTGATGGAACTGAACTTTCCTGTCTCCCAGGATTCTGTTCTTGGGTGACATTTGACCCTTGAGAACACTGTCGGTGGCAGAAGTGTGGATTTACAGTAAGGGGGGGGGAATTGGAAAAAAATCACCCCCTCCGTTGACAGAAGGGCCTTCCATCAGCTGAAGATGATATTTAGATTCAGTTCATGATTTTTAAACATCGCGATATATATACAACAAAGCTTGTGTCACTTGATATTTAACTAAAAGCACTGTTCAGCTTACAATCTGGTAATTTCGGTCTTCACGTAACAGGAGTACATGCTATCAAATCTGTTTTCCTTGATGCGTCTCAGCAAACTTTACTTCTCCTCAGATCTTGGCAATGTGCATTTAAGCTTTTGTTGGTGAACATATATTGTATCACTGTGACTTGTATAAAATAAAAATTTTTTAGAAATGGCACAAAGTTTAGCTACTTCCTTCAGATCTAAGGCTTTCATGTTTCAAAGATGTTTGTTTGTTTGTTTTTATTTTGTCAGATTTCTACCCTGCCCTCCCAGCCAAGGCCGGCTCAGGGCGGCTTACATAAAAACAGCACACAAATCACAATAAAAACAATTAAAACAAAACAATACTACAACCAATTGATGACATAATAAGTGCTAGCATTATTGTTCTTGGTTGATGTTGCTTCAACGATGGCTGCCATACTCAGTTCTCTCTCTAGATGATCAGCTTTCAGATCTCCTTCAGATGTCATTAAAGCGATTGGTGCCGGCTGTTAGAATTCCAGGGACACAGGGCTGTCTATCCTACTGCTGTTAAATATGGATGGTATTTAACGGTGGTGGCAGCTCCAAAGGCCTGGTGGAAGAGCTCCATTTTACAGGCTCTGCGGAACTGTTAAGAGGTCCCGCAGGACCTTGATCTCTACTGGGAGCTCATTCCAGCAATACAGAGCTGCCACTGAGAAAGCCCTGGCCCTGGTTGTCACCAGCCTGGCTTCCTTACAATTCTGGGTCCCTGAATGCAGTGCTCTCTGGGGAACATACGGGGAAAGGCAGTCCTTCAGGTATATAGGCCCCAGACCATAAAGGGCTTTAAAGGTCAAAACCAGCACCTTGAAATTAATTCAGTATGCTATTGGCAGCCAGTGCAATGCCTTTAGGACCGCCTGGCTGTGGCATTTTGCACCAGCTGCAGCTTCCGGATTTGAGACAACGGCAGCTCCATGTAGAGAGTGTTACAGTAGTCCAATCTCAAGGTGACCATTGCATGGATCACTGACGCCAAGGGAACCAATTGCCTAATCAACCGAAGGTGGTAAAAGGCCGACTTGGCAGTGGCTGCTACCTGGGCCTCCATTGTTAAGGAGGCATCCAGGAGCACTCCCATGGACCGCCCCGGCTCAGGCACAGGACCTCCATCTTTGTCGGGTTCAGTTTCAGCCAGCTCAGTCTGAACCAACCAGCCACAGCTTGTAACACCCGGTCTAGATCTTCCGGTTTGGAGTCAGACTGATCTCCCAACAACAGATAGAGCTGGGTGTCATCCACATACTGGTGAGATCCCAGCCCATGCCTCCGGGCAATCTGGGTAAAGGGGTGCATGTAGATGTTGAAAAGCATTGGGGATAACACTGCCCCTTGAGGCACTCCATAATCAAGCAGGTGTCTCTGGGACAGTTGTTCCCCCAGTGCTACCCTTTGTCCCTGACCTTGGAGGAAGGAAGCAAGCCACTGCAAGGCCAGTCCCTGAACCCCAGTGTCTGCGAGGTGGTGGATCAGTAGCTGATGGTCAACTGTGTCGAACGCTGCCAACAGGTCTAACAACAACAGCACTGCCTCCGGAGGTTGTCCATGAGGGTGACCAGTGTTGTCTCTGTCCTGTGGCCTGGGCAGAAGCCGGACTGGAAGGGATCTAAGATGTTGTGTTTCAAAGATGTCAACACTTTTAAGCATCTAAAGTAAACTGGTTCAGGTTGGGTCTCTGTGGAATAGTAATCGCACTGCCATATGTAAAACAAAATGAAAACCCCAAAGCTATTCAGAACAACCAAAACAACAACAACAATATAATAATATAATGTTTTGGTCTTTTTCATTTCTTAAAAAGTGGCTATTTGTGAGGGAGGCGGGTGTGAGCAAGACCAGTTTCTTAGCACCACCCCTTGCCCAAGTTCAAAGTAGTGCCAAAGGGTGTAGAAAACTGGGTCAGTACCTGGGAAGGATGAGGGCACGTGGCTGTTGACAGGAGGACATCTTTGTCAGCATGGACTGCAGGTGATTGCCCTTCAATTCACAGCTAACTTATGTTGACCCTATAGGGTTTTCAAGGCAAGAGATGAACAGAAGTGATTTGCCATTGCCTGCTTCTGCATAACAATGCTGGACTTTCTTGGTGGTCTCCCATCTGGGGCTGACCCTGTTTAGCTTCTGAGATCTGACAAGATTGGCGCATCCTTGACTATCCTGTAAGGGCAGATCCTTCATCCCTAGCCACAGCAGCAGCTACACCAACAGGAAGGCTGGAGAGAGAACTTGGGATGTGTCTACCCCCCTGTCTTCCACCTGCTGCTACTGCTGGAAGGAAGCCATACTAAATATGTTTGCCCAGATGAAGAGAGCCCGACCGATAGCGAACAATGAAGTCTAACGTTTGAGTCCAGTGGCACTAAGATCATCAAAGTTTTCTTCTGGGTATAAGCATTCGTATGCATGCGCATGTCTTCAGATACACTGAAGCAGAAGTCACCAATCATTACATATAGCTAGAGGATGGGGAGGGTGTTGCCAGGGTAGACCGAATACAGTCATAAGAACATAAGAGAAGCCAATGTTGGGAGGAGGGGTGATGGAGTAGCGAGGTGGTCGGAGAATCCAGAGCTCTGGATCTCACTAACCTTTGGAGTCTTTTTAGGGGACTTTCTTGACATTTCTGGACTCCTCCAGATTTGACAAGGGTCCACCAGTTCCTCAGGAATAGGAAACTGGAAGCAGAAGACTTAAACTGAGTTCCCTGTTTGCGGCAACAACAGGTGAAGTTTCAGTTTGTGTTGAAGCAGAAGCTCCAGAAGGACCGGTCACGCAGTTCGCGGCTCGATAGCTACATCAAGCCCCAAAAGAGCCTCCATACTGTTACTATGTGTGCTTGTATTTGCATTTTGTCTGTACTGTGCTTATGAAGTATTGCTCAAATGTCTATGTATCTGTGCCTTTGGGACCCAGGGCTCACTGTTATGTGTGTTTGCTGCTATGTGTTTGTATGGCTGGCCTTTCACCTCATGCTGCCCACGGATGGGCATTGCTGAGATGCCTGCCCCAAAGCACATGCTTCCCTGGAATCTCTCAGAGGGCCTCTGGTCAGAGGAGGTCATCGCCATTATGCACAAGGAGACATTTGGAGAAACAACAGGCTTGGCCACCATTGATGGACTGTGGGAAAGCACGCAACTCCCTCTCTGCTATCTGGTTTGGCATCAAAAAGACAACATTGTTTATGACTCTGGACCAGCAACATCTATGCAAGTCAAAGGTTGCTAATGGAAACGGAGGTCCACACCTCACCACATGGCCCCTGCTTTGATGTAGGATAGAATATCTGCATATTGCCCCCTTCCCCTTCATTAAGACGTCACCCCCTTTTGGACCTATAGCCATAGAATAGAGGACGGACCCCAGGGTTTGTGGCAGGTAAGGCCATGCCCAGAACAGAGCTGTTAAAAAGAGAAACACGGCTTTGTTTCTCTCGCTCGCTCGCTCTCGAGCCCTTTCTTCCTTCCTTAGCGTGCACTAAGGTGCTTCAGGTGACTCTCTAAGTTCCCCGGAGTCGCGACCAGGGAACGCGCACGTGGCTTGGCTGGACCAGCCTGTGTGTTTTCAGAGTTCACCAGTTGATGCGTTAGCTGCCCTTCTTTCCTAAGAGGAGATTTCTTCTCAGCGGACCTCAGATAAGTATGATCGCATACCTGTGAAGTCATCCCCCTTATTTGATGCTTTTGTTATTTTCCATGCTGTTTGTGTCTATTTCCTATTGTAACTAAGGAGCTTGTGCGAATCTTGTATGTATCTGTTTTTGTATGTCTGAAGAAACTGCTTTAGTAAAGGCAACATTGATTCATAAAACCTAGCTGTTGTCTGACTTCCTGGGAAATAGCGAGCTTTCAACACCAATCTGACCTCTGGATACACGGGTTTAGAACTCACGCACCGCCCACCTCTGTAAACAGAGCTGATCTGGGCTCCCGGAACCGTCTTTGGACCAGTTCGGGTAACAATACCTCGCCACAAATCATCTTGGCGAAGACTCCGTAAGCAACCTTATCTTCTACTTTAATAGTTAAGCCCGTGAACAGACACTTGATTGCCCCTATAAATCTGTCCAGAGACAAGGGGGGGGTAAAACTCTCCGTCCGGCGGCCATGCAAAGTTTTGGATTTTATTACATCAAACACGCAGGGGAAAAACAACATTTTGAAATGTTTTACCTGCTTTTTGGAAAATATTGTTACAGAAACGTATTTCACTCTTAAAGAACTTTGATGGAACTATTGAAAGTGAAACAGGCTAAAAGTTAAGCCAAAATGGTGCTGAGGCAGCAGTTTCTTTGTCTGAGTCTCTCTATGCGTAATTAGGCTGTGAATGTTGTGTCCGTTAAGGAGTGAAATGGCTCTCGCAGCTCCATTGGAGACTAA